CCAATGACTTATTCTGTTCTTTTAGTATTACAGAATTTAGGTTGTTTATTTGAAAAAAACGAGAAAATACCTGATCTAGGTTCACTAGATTGATATTTCGTTTTCCAATTTAATATTCCTTGGCTCGCGCAAATTTGAAGACCCAAACCCCGTAAATAAAGACTGTCTTTAAAAGTATTTCAAAAATCAATATTCTTTTTAAGATATGCTTAGTTTATTTCTGCTGATGCTAGATTTTTAAATACACTCTTTTAATTCTTTACGTTTATGCTTTTTTTTAAATTCACTTTATTTCATTAATACTATTTCAATTCTTTCTTTTAATCTTTAGCTCTTTTACAAATTCTTTATTTTATTTCTTTTTCACTTTATTTTCAATATCTTTTAATTCTTTACTTTTTTAATTATTTTTCACTTGTCACTTTATTGTATTCTTTATTTCGATATATTCTTTTAAAAATCAACCTTTGTTTACTCTTTATTTATTTTCTTTTTATTCTCAATTAAATTCACTTTCTTTAAACAAACTTTTTATTCAACCGTTAAACTTTCAATACGATTAACACGGCTAATTGCCGGACTTAGAATTGCCAGGCCTAAACTGCCGGCTACAACTACAGGTAACTACGACCTGGACTAAACTGCGGGCCCAAACTGCCCGAGCTAACTGCCGGCTACAACGGCCTGGCTTAAACTGCCCAGATTTCCCAGTGTCAATCAATTTTATTGAAAGACAATTTAGTGGGGAAATCGTATGTTAAGTTCATTGTACTTGACTGTTGTCAAGTCAATTTCTGCAACCTTGCAGATTTAAGCAGTGGTGTGATCCGAGTTCAGTGACTTGGATGCACCACTCCTTACATTGAGCAATTTAACTTTGATAATTTCTAACTAATTTTCAAAAGGGTCAATAAACTGTTTTTCAAGAAAAAGGAATTCATTAAGAAACACTTTACTATATTGTCAGGTTTTTCACCTCGAAATTGCGAAACCTAAAGGAATGTTAAATTCAATTAAATCTTATATTTATATAGAATTAGAATTTCTATGTCATTAAAAGGCCCTGGATTAAAATATTCAAAAGAGGGAATGTCCTTTTGTGAGATTACATAGGGTTATTTTGTGTAAGCGTTTTATGACGTGTTAACAAAATATTGTGTTGTGTGTAATTTGGTTTTTAAAGTATTATAAATAATCATTTATAATATAAAAGTTACGGAGTTCGGCCGTAACAATTTAAAAATAATTGGATTTTTTTCAGAAGATTTTTATTATTTATAAATTGACTTTTTGCAAAGAATTTTATTACAATTATTAAAAATAATTGAATTCTTCATAAAATTTTCAGTAAAAATTATTTTAAAAAATTCATTATTTTCAGGAATATTGAAATAAATTCTTCAAAACAATTCAATTATTTTAAAGAATTTTGATAAAAATCTTGCCATGAATTAAATTACTTTCAATACAATTTTAATTATATTTTCTAGAAAGAATTCATTTATTTGAAGAAATGTTGACAAAATTCTTGAAATGAATTCAATTATATTCAAATTTTTTTATAAATACTTTACAAGAATTCAATGATCTTCAGTACGTTAATTTTTAAATCTTAAACATTTAAAAAGAAAAATTATTTAAAAAGTTAGGAAACTTAAAAGCAAACAGCAACTAACTCCAACCTGCGAACAGATTACCAGAATACAACGATTATTTATATTAGAAGATTACTACACTGAAAAAAAAAGTATTGAACCAAGAAAATTTTTCTTGGTTGAAGCAAATCGTGGGATTGAATACGGCCAAGACTATTAAAGTATTGATTCAAGAAAACGATTTTCTTGACATAGGATATTTGGGAGAAGAACATATATTCTTGATCCAAGAAAATATGGAATTTGACCAAGAAGTTAGTCTTCTTATACGAAGTATGAAATGTATTAAATGAATAAAATATTTTCTTGTTCTAAGAATATATATAGTTAATTGAATTATTTTATTTGATTCATTCAATTTTTTGTAACGTTCGTTCAAGTAATTCAAGATTTAAATGAAGAAAACATTTATTTTGTGAGAAGAACAGATATTTTTGATCCAAGAAAATATGGAATTCGACCAAGAAGTTAATCGACTTGTACGAAATATAAAATGTATTAAATGAATAAAATATTTTCTTGTTCTAAGAATATATATATATAGATAATTGAATTATTTTATTTGATTCATTCAATTTTTTGTAACATTCGTTCAAGTAATTCAAGATTTAAATGAAGAAAACATTTATTTTGTGAGAGAACGCAGATATTCTTGATCCAAGAAAATATGGAATTCGATCAAGAAATTAAGTAGCATGTAAGAAATGCAGAATATATTAATTCAAAATCATTTATGTATCAAATCAAGAAAGTATGTTCTCTGTCCAAGAAAATATTTTCTTGATTTGAGAAAATTTATAGATTTCAATCAAAAAAATACTTTCTCAATACAAGTAAATTATTTACTTAAATTACCCCCCCCCCCCCTTACCCCCATCCCATCTTTTCTAATACTTAGGTCAAACATTTTTATTATTTAATTAATTAACATTTATATTTTTTATTTAAATAATTAAATAATTGTTATTTTACATATATATTTACATTTAATTATTACTTAACACAAATACAACAAATATACCTTGAAATAAAATTTTCCACGGTCGGAGGAATTGAACTCGGGTTGCACGCACCAGAAGCCGTCACGCTACCACTATGCCATCCTAGCCTCAATGGACAGTTTTCGAAAACTGATATTTAAGTTGCATATACATTTGAAGAAAAATATTTTCTTGGATCAAGAACACCGGCATTGTGTTAAGTGAAAAAAAGTTTCAAAGCAAATAAATAAAATGATTCGATTCAAGAAACATGAATTCTCCACACAATACTTTATTATTTCGCTTAAGAACATGATATTCTAGATTCAATACTTTTTGGTACTTCGGAAAAGTAAAATATTTGGTTGAAATAATTACATATTGAGTTCTGACAAATACTAAATTGTTAATTCAAGAATTCTGTTCAATGCTAATAATTACTTGACACAAGAAAATGAATTTCTTTCTTCAAATAAATATGGGATTAATTGAATGTAATTTTTAATCAACTTGAAACAAATATTTACTTATATTAACCTTCGTATTTTCTTGAATCAGGATTATATGAGCGTTGAATTAAGTAAAAACTTTTTTAAAGGAAACAAAAGAATGATTTAATTCAAGATCTTACACTTAATTGAATTGAATAAATAAAATATTTCATTCCAGAAAATATAATATTCTCGCAAGAAATTAATGATTTTGAAACATGAGAATATAGAAATGCTTCAAGTAAAAGAAATGCTTAGATTAATTAATATTTCTTTGAAACAAAATAATTTTTAATTGAGTTGAAACAATTATTAACTTGTATTAATCTTCCCATTTTCTTGGCTCAAGACTATGGGTGTTGGATGAAATAAATAGTTGCTTTAAAGGAAATAAAAAAATTATTTGACTCAAGATACCAAATGACTCAAGGTAAATTACTTGACGTGAGAACATGATATTCTTGATTCAATACTTTTTCGAGACTTGGCGCATGTAAAACAGTTCGTTTGAAACAGTAAGATATTTACTTATGTCAAACCCATATTTTCTTATTTCAATAACTTTGATCAATGCTCAAAATTACTTGACACAAGAAAATAAATTTCTTCCAATAAGAAAATATGGGTTTGTTTCAAATAAATCAGGTCAAGAAAATGCATTTACTTGATTCAATGAACTTTTTTTTTCAGTGTAGCAAATCATTTTTGAATGATTACAGAATTAAAATGTAAAGAATTCACTTATTAAGTACATAACTAAATATTATTGTTTATTATTTTTCAAAAATGTTAATAAAATTTTTAGCAATAATTTCATTATTCTCATAACAAATAAAATTCTTGAGATCAATTCAATTATTTTCAATTCAATTTTAATAAAATTTCTCGAAATAATACAATTATTTTTAAAAATATTAATTAAATTCCATTATTTTCAAGAATTTTAATATAAATTCAATTATTTTCAACAATTTTGATGAAATTCTTTTTAAAATATCATTATTTTCAAAATTTTTAATAAAATACCTTCAAAAAATTCAATTATTTTCAAAAATTTAGATAAATTTAGATAAATTTTTTTGAAACAATTCAATTATTGTATATTTTTATAAATAAGAATATTCTTCGCAAGAATTAAAATATTTCCATAAATAATAAAATTCTTCAAAGGAATTCAATATTATTTTCAATACAATTTTAATAAAATTTCTCGAAAGAATACAATTATTTTTAAAAATATTATTTAAATTCAATTATTTTCAACAATTCTTTGAAATGAATAATAAACACGATTATTTTCAAAACTTGAAAGAAATTCTTCTGAAAATTCAATTATTTCCAATAAAATAATTTTAATTACATTTTCTCGAAAGAATTCAATTTATTATTGAAAAAAATTTAATAAAATTCTTGAAATGAATTCAATTATTTTCAAAATTTTTATAAATACTTTGCATGAATTGAATGATTTTTAATACATTAATTTTAAAATTAAAAATATGTAAAAAGAAAAATTATTTAAAAAGTTTGGAAACAAAAAAACAAACAACAACTAACTTGAAACTGCGAACAGATTACCGGAATACAACGATTATTAATATAGATTACTACCTAGAACAATCCAATTTCGTAAGTATTTCTATTCATTTAAAATTGTTGTCAACAAAAAACAAATAAATTGGTTGAAAACCTCAAAATTTCTTGTTTTTTTGACACTCATAGAGTTAAATTTTTAAACTATTGAGCAAAAAATAAAAATCTTTCGAAGCATAATTAATAATTGAAATAAAAAAATATAAATACCTTGTTTAGAGATAGGTTCAAGTAGGTTCCGAAGAAGAAATAATTAAAATATAAATACCTTGTCTTTACAGAAATCAGCATTCCAAGGCAATCAGTAAGCAGTCACAGTCTGACATCATCATCGGACGTTATCACCAAAGTACGAAGTAAATTGGCCATAAATGATCAACACGAAGGTCTCACAAGTCTCACGGGAATATGGACCGAACTGATCCTCAGGGACATCTCATCTCCAATTTATTCACAAAATTTAACTGACTGTTGCTCAAATCCTCCAAAGCATCCAGAATGCTACGAGTCACTGGATCAATTTGGATCATGTTCAAATTACTATCGTCAAGCGCCCACAGTGAGTTCTCATATTTGTCGTTTCGAGAAACGAGAACAAATGAATGGTGCCTCTGGCTATTTGGATGGTTCCGATCTCTATGGAAATACAGACGAGAAACTTCACAATCTAAGGACCTACAGTCATGGCAAGGTCGATCCATTTGCTTGTGAACTCTGTGAAAATCGTGAATCAGCATTAGGACAAATTTATCGAGCATTGCTCTCGGAGCACAATAGGATTGCCGAGAAATTGGCATTTGAAAATGAACATTGGGATGAAACAAAATTATACCTTGAAGCTCGTAAGGCGGTTGTTGCTCAAATTCAACACGTTACCTTCAATGAATACGTGCCGAGTATTCTAGGCGAGGCTGTTTATTTGGATTCGAATTTAAGACCTGTGACAAGTGGATATTACGCTGGATACTCGTCGACGAATCGCGGTGGTGCTTTAGATGCCGTTGCTTTCGCTGCTCTTCAGGTTTTAACATCCTTGTCGGCTCACAATAAAGATTCACTCGAAAAGCACTTGAGCACTTCATCGAAGCACGTTAATTTAGACATCAGCAATCAAATTTCCGAATTTCCGGCTTGGGATTCAAGTGCTCTTTTGGTTCAAGCTGCTAGAGATCACGGAGTTCCTGGATATGTCAACTTCATCTCCCACTGTTCTGAAAACAAAATTCAAGTAAGTACAGGATTGTCACAAACATTTTATTTTATTTTTCCCTGACTTGTCCCTGCATTGATTTCCAGACAGAACTTTTGGTTAAACAATATTTTGGTCAAGGGCAAGGAAAAAGTAAAAACACAAAAAAATGTAATGCATTTATTTTTTAATATCTTTAATTAAGTAAAATTATTCGGAACATCAATACATTTTTTAAAATAAATATTTAGTCATTATTATTTTTCCTGAGGAATTAAGATTTTTAAAATATTTCAAATTTCAAATCCTTTGAAATAATAAAATAAATAAAAATATTAAATAATAATTAATAATAAAATAATTAATTAATAATTTAATAATAATAATATTAATATTAAATAAAAATATTAAAATACTTTATAAGAATCGTTGTTATATAAATTTATCCAAAATTATTTTCAAGATTTCAACTCAATTAGTTTCTAGAAATTTTAACTAAAACTCTTCTCTATTTCAATTATTTTCAATATATTTTGCTAAAGTTCCTTAAAATTTCATTGATTTAAAAAATTTCACCTAAAACTAAAATATTTCTAAAATCCACTTGTTTACAAGACAAATTCATGAAATTACAAATCATTGGAAAATTTTTCAACTAAGTATAGAATTGTATTGAAAAACCGCTGCCAAGTTGTATATTTTTTTATAATTTTGGTGCTCATTTCATGAACACTTTGCTTCCTCATAGAGATAATAATTTTAAAATTACTTCTACATTTTTCAACAAAATTTTCAAAAAGTCTTATTTTCCAAAATTTTTTATTTTTAAAAGTTTAATATCTCCGGTCAATATAGAGTATAGACGAAAGAAGTTCAATTAGGGCTCAAAAGATGCGTCCAAAAAAACTCTACAAAATTATGGAAAAACCTTTATAGGTGTCCTAACATTTTTGTAAAGTTATGGACAAAAAACGTTTTTTTGCAAAATTAAAAATCCAAAAAAAAATTAAGTTAAACTTTATTAATCTATCTCAAAATACTCTCATTTTATGTCTCAAACGTCCCAGCCAAAAAAAAAGTCTTGGGATTGGCTTCATATTTTGGGAAATTGTTATTCTATATAAAAGTAATAAATTTGCAAAATATTAGTTCTTTTAAAAAAAATTCTAGAAAGTAGTGGGGGTTGAAGTTTTGACATTTTCAGTAACACTGTGATTTTCAAAAACATATAACTTTTATAATACTTTACCGATTTTAATGTTTCTATAATGCATTTAAAGCACTTTTCATGTACTTTCTAAAAATTTTACAAAAAACTTTTTAAAAAAACTTTTAACCCTCTTTTTTTAAAAAATAAAGTTTATTTTTTAAAATAAAGTTTATTTTTTAATTTTGACCCAAATGGGTATTTTTAAAAAATTTTTTTTTATTTTTATTGGAAAGCTGACATTTTTTCCAAAAAAAACATATATGTTTCATAGTGGGATGGCCATATGTTTAGAAGATACTTAAAAACAAACTAAGCGGCGCGCCCGCTTCACTGTACGTTACGCTGTCGCTGCGCCGTTGAACGACACAAATATTACTGTTTCCTCTTCATCTGCTTCAGTAAAAGCTCTCTGCATTCTACAGGGTTGAGACTGTCATAAAAATAATGCCTGCATTACTGTTACTAAAAAAATTTTTAAATAATTAATTTTGAAAACAGAAGGGTAAAGCTTAAAAAATTTTTGACTGAACAATTTTGAATAAATAATAAAATTATAATTATAAATTTAATTGACGAGATAATAAATCATTTTTTTTATTTTTTACTCGGTTCTTTTTAGAAACTCCTGGAGTAATTCTTTTTACTTTTTTTAAGAAAATTATCAAATTCAAAAATTCCATAGTCTTCAATATTCTCCAAATAATCGAATTTTGACTGCAAAAGTTCTTTTTGACTAGACGCAAAAATATTGTAAAGAAACCCAAACATTATACAGTGGCAAAGACATCTACGTTGAGACAGTAAAAAATATTAAAGAACAAATTTGATAATGCTCAAACTATACAAGGGATTTGATAATTTTCCTAAAAAAGTAAAAAAATTACACCACGAGTTTCTCAACAACAAAAAATTATGTACTATCTCGTCAATTAAATTTAAAAAAAACTCTTTTAACTTTAAACCCAAGTTAACAATAATACTAACGCAGGCTTTTCAAAATTACATATACATATAAATCTTCATTTCGATTGAATCAGAAAAATATTTGATTTTTAAGCATTAAGCTTTCTTTTTCAAAATTAATTTATTTATTAAAAATAATTTTCTCTATAATTATAATTTTATTATTTATTCAAAATTGTTAGGTCAAACATTTTTTAAGCTTTACCCTTCTGTTTTCAAAATTAATTATTTAAAATTTTTTTTAGTAACAGTAATGCAGGCATTATTTTTATGACAGTCTCAACCCTGTAGAATGCAGAGAGCTTTTACTGAAGCAGATGAAGAGGAAACAGTAATATTTGTGTCGTTCAACGGCGCAGCGACAGCGTAACGTAAATATCTTCTAAACTTATGGCCATCCCACTATAAAACATATATGTTTTTTTTGGAAAAAATGTCAGCTTTCCAATAAAAATAAAAAAAAAATTTTTTTAAATACCCATTTGGGTCAAAATTAAAAAATAAACTTTATTTTTTAAAAAAAAGAGGGTTAAAAGTTCTTTTAAAAATTTTTTTGTAAAATTTTTAGAAAGTACATGAAAAATGCTTTAAATGCATTATAGAAACATTGAAATCGGTAAAGTATTATAAAAGTTATATGGTTTTGAAAATCACAGTGTTACTGAAAATGTCAAAACTTCAACCCCTAATACTTTCAAGAATTTTTTTTAAAAGAACTAATATTTTGCAAATTTATTACTTTCATATAGGATAACAATTTCCCAAAATATGAAGCCAATCCCAAGACTTTTTTTTGGGCTGGGACGTTTGAGAAATAATGCCTCACATACGCAGTGACATTTTTTAAAAATGTCATTTTTGAACGCCTGAGGTCAAATAATATAAAGATACATATGTCAAAAAATTGAACTCGAAAAATTTTTGTATTGAATTAAATACAATAAAATACAGTAATAATACAATTATTCTTATATAAAATTTTATTAAAATTTATTAAAAAACATTTAATTCTTTTGAGAAATTTTATTAGAATTGTATTGAAAATAATTGAATCTCGTGCGAAAAATTTTATGAAAATTTTTGAAAATAATTTAATTGTTTTGAAGAATTTTATGGAAATTTTGTGAAAGTAATTAAATTTCTTTAAAAATTTTATTTTAAATAATTGAATTCTTTCAAGAAATTTTATTAATACTGCCGAGTGATCAGTTCAATCAAAATATTAAATTTTATTGAAATTATATTCAAAATAATTGAATTTCTATGAAGAATTTTATTATATGTATGAAATAAATTGAATTCTTGCAAATTTTTTAGTAAAATTTCATTAAAATTATATTGAAAACATTTCAATTCTCATATTGCTTTCAAAGGAAGCAAAGTGATGTCGATTTTTGAATTTCTTAGAATCACCCACATAGCACAATAGTATGAGGTAAGGTTATGTTGAGTACTAATCGTAAGGCTCATAAGGTTACACGATATTGCTGTGGTAGACCTGAGGTGAACTAAAAACTTCCGCCATGGAGGTAAGGTTACATGTTAGGGTGTGGTGACTATATATGATAAGGCCATGGTAACCTTACACGTTAAGGTTGAGGTAACGTTACATGTTAAGGTTGAGGTAAGGTTACATGTTAAGGTTGAGGTAACGTTACATGTTAAGGTTGAGGTAAGGTTACATGTCAAGGCTGAGGTAAGGTAATTATTAAGTTGTAAGGTTGAGGTAAGGTTGTGATAAGTTTACCAGTTATAGAAAATATTGAAAAAATAATTAATAAATAAATATTCAATTAAAATGTTAAGTTTGTTGCTCTTCTCTATTTTGGAAACCTGACATGAAGCAGAAAATTTTGAAAACAAATTTGGGGGGACTGGGATTCGAACCCGGGATCGGCGCGCATAAACCTATCATTCTAACTAACTGAGCTAAGTAGAGAACTGGCAGAAGAAAAATTAATGTTGCCTTTAAGGTGAACCAAGAAGATGATTAACTCCTTAAAGGCAACATTAATTTTCCTTCTGCCAGTTCTCTACTTAGCTCAGTTAGTTAGAATGATAGGTTTATGCGCGCCGATCCCGGGTTCGAATCCCAGTCCCCCCAAATTTGTTTTCAAAATTTTCTGCTTCATGTCAGGTTTCCAAAATAGAGAAGAGCAACAAACTTAACATTTTAATTGAATATTTATTTATTAATTATTTTTTCAATATTTTCTATAACTGGTAAACTTATCACAACCTTACCTCAACCTTACAACTTAATAATTACCTTACCTCAGCCTTGACATGTAACCTTACCTCAACCTTAACATGTAACGTTACCTCAACCTTAACATGTAACCTTACCTCAACCTTAACATGTAACGTTACCTCAACCTTAACGTGTAAGGTTACCATGGCCTTATCATATATAGTCACCACACCCTAACATGTAACCTTACCTCCATGGCGGAAGTTTTTAGTTCACCTCAGGTCTACCACAGCAATATCGTGTAATCTTATGAGCCTTACGATTAGTATTCAACATAACCTTACCTCATACTATTGTGCTATGTGGGCAATTATTTTTTACAAATTTTCAAGTGTAGTATAATATATGGGGCATTCCACGCCAAGTCGGAAATCATTTTGCTTTTGCATCTCAAATTTTTTTTAAACATTTTTTTTCTTTTAGTACTCTTTGAAATGAGCTACCTTGATTTTTTTCAAATTTTTTCATAAAGCGGTTCAGGAGGTACAGATTTTTGAAAAATGACGTTTTTTACGTAAATTTTTTTTTAAATGCTTATAACACGGTCAAAAATTGATCAAATTGGACGTTTTTATAATGAAAAGTTTTGTTTTCACGCGTAGTTTTTAATAAAAATATTTTTAAAAAAATTTTAAATAATTTACGATAAGATTTTAAAATTTTTAAAATAAAATTTCAGTTTTAACAATGTATGTATCGATCAATTTTTTTCAAAATTTTTTGTAAGAAACTAGCACTAAATTAACAATTTTTAAGCATTGTCCGATCGTGGGCAAACGATGAGATCTATTTATTTTAAAATTTTTAATTTTTATATACGCAGTGGTGGCCAAATGACTAACTTGCCATTTGACAAAATAACACAAATTTTTCACAGCAAATGTGTTTTCAGACTGAGTCTCTCCAAACTTAACCTTCTTTCAGTGTAAAATTGTGATTTGGTCAAATGACAAGTTAGGCCTACCGTTTTTATTGTGTATATAAAAATTAAAATTTTTTAAATAAATAGGATCCATCGTTTGCCCACGATCGGACAAGGCTTAAAAATGGTTAATTTAGTGCTACCCAGTAAAAAAAACTAATTCAAATGAATTGAAACGAATTAACATTTTTGGTAGGCTCCAATTCGTATTTGTCACAAAGCGGGATTCACTCAAGCTCTTTGTATATTCAATTGAATTTAATTCAATATGTACCAATTTGTCCAAACGAATTCGCATTCGAAAGAAATGGCCAAGGAATGCATTGAATTCGTGCTAACGAATTGAAAAAAATTAAAGGCTCAAAACTTGTCCAGTGAATTGGTACGGATAGAAGGTTCGGAAGTTCAATACAGTTTCACGAATTCAGGAAAATTGCATCATGGCTCCAATTCGTATTTGTCACAAAGCGGGATTCACGAAAGCTCTTTGTGAATTCTTTTTAATTCATTTCAATTAGTTTTCGTTTACTAGGCAGTTTCTTACAAAAAATTTTGAAAAAAGTGATCAATACATACATTGTTAAAAATGAAATTTTATTTTAAAAATTTTAAAATCTTATCGTAAATTATTTAAAAATATTTTTATTAAAAACTACGCGTGAAAACAAACATATAAAAAAATAAATAAATAAAAAAAAATAATTAAAATTAAAATTAGGTTTTTATAAAACATTATAAAAACGTCCAATTTGATCAATTTTTGACCAAGTTATAAGTATTTAAAAAAAAATTTACGTTAAAAACGTAATTTTTCAAAAATCTGTATCTCCTGAACCGCTTTATGAAAAAATTTGAAAAAAATTAAGGTAGCTCATTTCAAAGAGTACTAAAAGAAAAAAAATGTTTAAAAAAAATTTGAGATGCAAAAGAAAAATGATTTCCGACTTGGCCTGGAATGCCCATAATCATATATTTCGTCGAGAGGAACAAATGTCCGGATATATGTGTGTATTTATGTATATCACTGATTCTTGTGGACAAATTTTCTCTTGCACGTTGTGACGTGTAATTTTGATACAATTTTGTAGGTGTATTACGGTCATGAATACCTAAAATCAGACAGAAGGATTTTCAAAAATATCTAAAAAAAAATTTTTTGTTAGCATTTTCAGGGCGCGAAGCGAAATAAGCCTTTGGAAATACTGACTTTACTGACTTAAGACTAGAAATTACTGACCATTTACTGACCAATCCTCGCATAATCGCAAGCAACAAAATCGCCTTGTAGACGGAATTTTTCTATTGTTTCTATGCATTAGTGGCGCTAATAATATTCATAATAAAAAGAAATTATTTATGCGAATTTTATACATTATTATATGAGAAAGAAAAAACTTAAAATCATCCTCTCTTTAATAAAACTATTAGTTTCAGCAAATAATTGTCCTTAAAAAAGAATATAATTAAATAGGGGAGACTGGGGCTAAATGTTAAACTGTGGAAACAGTTAAAATTTCATCCGAACGGAAATAGTTAGAGCATTGTAATTTTGATTATAGAAGTACTAACTCGGGGTTTTGGACACCTGAAATAACAATTTTCAAATGAATTGCATATGATTTTCAGAAAGCCGTCTGCCATAATAAGACCGCCATTTTAAATTTTAAAAATCTGACAAAATATTCGTATTCAACAACACCGAAAACCCTCAAGAAATTTTTTTTATGAAAATCCATCAATCTTTTACAAAATTTTTCTAGAATAACGAATTTTCACAACATTCGTCCGCCATATTGGATCCGATATTTTTAATTTTGCAAATTGAACTTCAGATTCGTAATCAGCGACCTCGAAAACCCCCAAGTAAAAAGTTAAAGGCAAATGCAATGAATTTTTCAAAATTCGTCCGACATATTGGATCCGTTATTTTGAATTTTGAAAATCTGACTTCAGATTCGTAATCAGCGACCCCGAAAACCCCCGAGTAAAAAGTTTTAAACAAATTCAATGAATTTTTTAAAATTCGTCCGCCATATTGGATCCGCCATTTTGAATTTTGAAAATCTGACTTGAGATTCGTAATCAGCGACCCCAAAAACAGTAAAATATATTTTGACCCAATATTTATGCATCGTTTTTTAAAAGTAATTAATAAATATATTTACTTATTTTCGACTTTAGCCTCTTCTAATTGACGTAGTAAGGACGCCATTTGAATTTTGAATTATGCCACTTTGTAATTGAAAGGAGATGTCATGACGAGTATTTTCATGTGCATAACTTGTATTTTGATTGCATACAATTTTGGGCACAGCTTTGGGCCGTTTGACGTGAAACGTCCCATATTTAATTGAAAATTGGGAAGAAAAAGAAACAGAAGTACCTATGAAATGTCAGAGAATTTGACAGCAAAATGGTCAACGAAAGCGCTAGTAAACATCAAGAGAGTTTTAAAAATTATTTTTTTAAAAATTCTGTTATCAATCTTGATTTTCTTTTTGCAACTTCTTTTTCTACTGTCGAAAAGTAGAATTTACGGACTTTCACATAAAATTACTGACTTTTACGGAAAATACTGACTTACTTTGCGCCCTGCATTTTTTTAATTTTTGAAAAAAATTTATTTTTTGAAATAACTTTTTTCTTTATTAAAATTTTCATTAATTCTTGTCAAAATTGTATTCCTGGCATGAAAACGAATCGATTCATGTATATAAAGTATATATTTCATCAATATTTATAATATTAATCGACATTTTTATTTTTTACAAAAAATTTAAATTTTGTATTTTTTGAAACTTTATTTTAACACTTTAAAATAATTATTCTATAATAAAAAATTAAGCAATTGGTATATATTATACTGAGGATGCTAAATGATCATGAAATGAACAACATGTTTTTCTAATTTTAGTATCTGAAATTATTTAAAAATTGATGTTGATTTTTAAAAATAAAAAATTTTGAAATTTACATAATTACAATAAATTAAATAGCTAGTTTTTCTAGTTATTTATAGAAATTGAAAGCAAATTGAGAGCAACGTTTATAACGTTCAATAATTTTTGGAATTTTTAAATAAAACTATTCGCAAAATTATTTAAAATAAATTCAATTTCAAATCTGTAAAGTTGAATAATTGTTAGAAATAAAAAGAATTTATTAATTAAATTGAATATTTTTTTAAAGGTTGTTGCGTTGGACAACAAAATTCAGAATTTTCATATGAATTCTAGAAATTGAATATTATTCAATACTTTCCTTGCTTTTTCCCTGAATTCTCTGACCTGTTGGCAAGTCTGATTAGTAACTAATTAAGTAACTAATTAAAACAAATTTTTATCTTACTGTTAAAAATCTAAAATGTAAATGTAAATTTGACTTTTTGTAATATTTCCAGATTCAGAATTTCAGCCAATTGGAACAACTGATATCAGCGAAAGATGTGAAAACTCTCGAGGAAATATATTCACGAGTAGAGGACATCGATCTTCTAGTCGGTGGAATTTTGGAAATTCCACGAGAAAGTGCCGCTGTTGGTCCAACATTCCTCTGTCTTTTGAAGCAGCAATTCACGAAAATTCGTAATTCTGATCGCTTCTGGTACGAAAATGACATTCCTCCTTCTGGTCTTTCGCCAAATCAACTTTTGGAGATTCGTAAAGTCTCGCTTGCCGGTATTTTATGCGCAAATACCGACATCACTAAAATTCAACACAAATCCTTCATTCAACAAGATCCCTACCTTAATGTTCGAATTACTTGCAATCAACACGAAGTTCTCGATCTCAGTGCCTGGAATGAGGCACCAATGCCAGCGCCAATCACCGACAATTACATGAGTACAACCGAGGCTTCTGAACTAATTCCCGAAATTGATGCCGAAATGATAGCGGCCGCTTTGAAAAAGGCCGAGGAAGATTTAGTCAAACGTCAACAATTGGAGTATCAATCATGGCTCGAGCAAAGAATCGCTGATCCAAAATCTCCAGCCGGTACAGCGGCAAGTTTCTCAAAAGCCAATAAAGACGCTCTTCTCCTAGCAAATTCGTCAATTATCTTCGAACTCGCCACCAATGAAATCCTCAACGGACCTCAAGGTCTCAAGCGTCGTCGTCGAAAGAGGCAAGCCTTCGACACTCCCGACAATATTCTAGGCTTTCCAAACAACGATTTCTCCGATCTCCTGCAAAATGTCGACGTAGCGGGCCTAATACCAAACAATAAGAAAGCCACAAATCACGAGGAAGTCGAATGTCCAGTCGATGAATCGCCTTGTGATCCGGGCACACCCTACAGAACCCTCTCCGGACACTGCAACAATTTACGTAATCCAAATTTGGGAAAATCACTGACAACTTTCGCTAGACTCCTACCGCCAGCCTATGAAGACGGTATTTCAAAACCTAAAATAACATCCGTCACTGGAACACCGCTACCAAATCCTAGAACAATCTCAACAGTCATTCATCCCGATATTTCAAATCTACACAACCGTTACACATTGATGGTGATGCAGTATGCGCAATTCATTGATCACGATTTGACAATGACACCAATTCATAAAGGATTCGCTGAATCGATTCCCAGTTGTAGATCATGTGATTCAGCGAGAACGGTACATCCGGAATGTAATCCATTCCCAATGCCGGCTGGCGATCACTTTTTCCCGACAGTTAATTCATCGACTGGTGCTAGACTCTGTTTCCCGTCGATGAGGTCTCTACCGGGTCAACAACACTTGGGACCGAGGGAACAAGTTAATCAAAATACGGGATTTTTGGATGCTTCCGTTATTTATGGGGAGAATACTTGTATTTGTAATATTCTCCGTGGATTTAATGGTCGCATGAATATTACCTTACATCCAAATAGGGGAAAGGATCTTTTACCTCAATCGCCAACGCATCCGGAATGCAAGTCACCATCGGGCTTTTGTTTTATTGGAGGTGATGGTCGAGCGTCTGAACAACCTGGATTGACAGTGATGCACACTGTTTGGGTTCGTGAGCACAATCGAATCATGGAAGGTCTCAGGTGAGTTTCTTCTGAAAAATTAGAAAAATTAGAATTAATTTCCGTATAGGCCTTTTTTCGACTTTAATGCGTAACAAAGTTTTTAGTCGATTCAAAGTATTAAAAACAAAGTCGAAAAAATACTTTATTTTATTCATACACTGAGAAACCTTTGGGACTGTAGCGGGACAACGTATGTGACAGCAGCTCCACTATGGTTTTGGTGCGCTGCTGTACAATTTTGGGCGCGTGACAGTCCAAAATGTTGGTGAGCAGCTCACCGAAGTAGTGGGGATGCCGTCTTTGGTTTGCAGCTGAACAACTTTTGGAGTGTCACGCGCCCAAAATTGTACCGCAGCAACCCAAAAGTGTAGTCCTGTAGCGTTCCACCGAAATGGTCAGTAGCAGCCTATCGAAAGTCTGCTGCTGACCCAAAGGTCTCTCAGTGTAGTTGTCGCAAAAATTCAATTTTGTCCTAATTTCCAGGCAAAGTTTTCAACTTTTCATTTGTTATCACTGTAATAACTTTAACAGAGTTACCACAAATATTAAATTTTTTTATTTTTTTTTAATAATCAAATAGAGAATACTTTTAAGATTTTATTTAAATAATAAAAAAGTGGGATTTTCTATCACTTTAGAAAATATAATATTTTTAGTTACAAAAATTTTTGAAAAGTAAAAGAGATTTAAACAAATGAATTCGTGTCGATTTCATGTTTTTACGTATATATGTATTAATTACGTTAATATGTAATTTTTTTGGTTAAAGTTGTCGAGTTTAGTTTATTCATTTGTTTTGCTTCAAATCTCTTTAACTTTTCAAAAATTTTTGTAACTAAAAATATTATATTTCCTAAAATGATAGAGGATCCCACTTTTTTATTGCTCAAATAAAATCTTAAAAGTTTTCTCTATTTGATTATTAAAAAAAAATAAAAAAAAAGATGGAGAACACATTTTTTTAACCCCAAAAATTAAAAAGTTAATTTATATAAACAAATTATATTTTGTAATTAAAGTTTTTATCATTCATCTAAAGTACAATTCCTCAGGTAATCTCTCCTTCAATTTTTATTAAAATCGGTTCATCCGATCGCTAGTAATTAGCTATTTACTAAAACGCTACAAATAACTTTGACTTTGAATAACTTTGGCAATTATTCGAATTTCGGAAAACTATTTACAAGTTTTAATTATACACCATCATAGGCTATCGAAACATATAAGAATGAGAAAAATTCACCGACCCAATAAAAAATAGGGGCCCACTTCAGGAATTCTTTCCTCCCTGATTTACAGACAAAATTTTGACTTCTTCCCTGACCCTAAAGAATATTCTGATTCACTCTAAAAATGATTAGATACTCAAAAAAATGTTCTGTCACATTTATTTACGAATTTCCTTAATTGTAAAATTAATCAAAAACACCAATAACTTCATTTTTTAATAAATATTTTATCATTATAGTTTTACCATGGGAACAAAGATTCTTTTCAATTAACAATTCCCAGTAAAAAAAAACTAATTCAAATGAATTGAAACGAATTAACATTTTTGGTAGGCTCCAATTCGTATTTGTCACAAAGCGGGATTCACTCAAGCTCTTTGTATATTCAATTGAATTTAATTCAATATGTACCAATTTGTCCAAACGAATTCGCATTCGAAAGAAATGGCCAAGGAATGCATTGAATTCGTGCTAACGAATTGAAAAAAATTAAAGGCTCAAAACTTGTCCAGTGAATTGGTACGGATAGAAGGTTCGGAAGTTCAATACAGTTTCACGAATTCAGGAAAATTGCATCATGGCTCCAATTCGTATTTGTCACAAAGCGGGATTCACGAAAGCTCTTTGTGAATTCTTTTTAATTTATTTCAATTAGTTTTCGTTTACTGGGTTGTTAATAAAAAATTATTTATTAATCCTAAACTGTGGCAAGTAATGGAATTTTAAAATTATAAAATTTTATACGTTTAAATGGTTTAAATTAAATTCTTTTCAATTATATTATTTTTTATAGACTGTTAACCACCTATATTGTTGCTAGAATGTTGCTGAACAACATCCTGAAGAATAAAAAATTTTATTGTAACTTTTATGCGCTTTAAAGTAGTAGCAGCCACAGCCGAACACTATAGCAGAAGATTATAATTTTCATAGAAAGGCGTTTAAATTAAAATACAGTTACATTCGCGAAATTAAAAAAAATGATCATTTTTGGATATTTAACAAATTTTAAGATCAAATAGTAGAAAGAAACATTCTGAAATTTACTTATTTCAATAAATTATTACTGTAATTCATCCAAAATCCAATTCCTGTCTATAATTTTTAAACTAAAATTCTTTCCTAATTAATTACAGGGTTTCTACAAATTTCTACTTATAAAATTCCATGAAATTTCCATGATTTCCAGGTGATACAGATAAATGATAAAATTTCCATGACACATTAAAACAAAATTTTTGTCAGTTAAGTCAGGTAAATGTCATGAACAAAATTTTTTGTCAGGAAAATTAAGGCAGTAGTCTCCTTTAGAAGGCGAAAAAAATGCGTTTTTTCAGGAATTTTTTTTAAAGGGAAGGAAATGATTGCGGTAAACGAAATTTTTGGGTGATATTCTACTATATTTGAGCTTCAAAAACCAACTTTTATTTTAAAAAAATATTTAAATTCTTCTTATTAACAACGATTTTTGTGGAGCGCTGCAGCCCAGTAAACGAAAACTAATTGAAATGAATTAAAAAGAATTCACAAAGAGCTTTCGTGAATCCCGCTTTGTGACAAATACGAATTGGAGCCATGATGCAATTTTCCTGAATTCGTGAAACTGTATTGAACTTCCGAACCTTCTATCCGTACCAATTCACTGGACAAGTTTTGAGCCTTTAATTTTTTTCAATTCGTTAGCACGAATTCAATGCATTCCTTGGCCATTTCTTTCGAATGCGAATTCGTTTGGACAAATTGGTACATATTGAATTAAATTCAATTGAATATACAAAGAGCTTGAGTGAATCCCGCTTTGTGACAAATACGAATTGGAGCCTACCAAAAATGTTAATTCGTTTCAATTCATTTGAATTAGTTTTTTTTTACTGGGAGTCTGTATTTTTAAAACGGTGCCAGTGATAGAGGTCGCACGATGCATCTGAAACAGTCAAACCAATTTTTTTTTACTTTTTATAAGTGTCTTTTCTATTTGCACTAAAAAAATACCGAAGAAATTAAAAAATTCCAAATTTTTTCGAAGTTTGAAAAAAAAGTTAACTTTTTAAAAAAAAATCCACTTTAAGGTGCAAAAAAAATAGTTTAAATAATACTTTTGTCCAACTATTTTAGTTCAAATAGAAGATAATTTAATACTGAAGCGAGAACACTTTGATTTTTTTCAATCGGACAAAAATTCTTTTTGCTATCACCGGCACCGTTTTCTATGACGTGTGAAAATGAAAATTCGAGAAAAATCGATTTAAAGTTTTAGGTCCAAAAAATACAATTTTTAGGATACTTACACTAATTAAATTTTAACCTTTAAAGTGCTAAGTGTTGAAAAATCACGCTCAGTGCTAACCCCGGCCTGTCAGACCGCTATTCCCTTTTGACGGTTTTTTAGTCATTTATAATTTTTAAAAGACAACTATTATAAATATTTTTTACTTTTTAACAAAAAAAGTCATTTCTGTATTATGCATTTATTTATTTTATAAATGCAGTCTATGAGAACTGTCAGTAGAACTAGCTGCGCGTCAAGTTGCGCAGACGTCACTCATGGGAATATACTGGAATATACTTTCACTTAAAGCTAACCCCGGTCTCACAGACCGCTATACTTCAAATATTTATTTACATATATTACAAAATTTAACGAATACAAATTTTTGAAAAAGTTGTCTCCTAACAGATTTTCATAAAATATGAAGCTACTAAAAAGTTCAAGTTCTTATTATACTTTGAAAAAAAGTTTCAAGCAAAGAAGATTTTAATAGCGGTCTGTCAGACGGGCATAGCACTTTAAAGGTTAATCAGCTATTCCTTGCCCATATAGTAGTCCTTCCTCTTCTTCGAAGAACTCATTTTGTCGAAGATTTTCTTCTCGTCGAGCTGTCCGAGCCTCCTTGCTCGAAAATGACGAGCGCCGGTTTTCCCTCGTTATGCGCTCCGCATCGATATTATCGGCAAAATTTTTGCATTGCTGCCCGATAACAATATCGAGCAGCTGCCTGCAGCCAAATTTGCCGCTATTTCGACGATTTTAGAGCCGGACTTGACGTGTTTTGGGTTTAGACGCCACACAAGCGAATTAAACGCTTCGTTAGAATTTTGAGTGTGTGTATACACCTTCTCAGGTGTATACAAGGTGATACAAGGTTAGGTAAACAATATAACGCATGTAGGGGCGGTGCGCGCGCGTTGGGGTCTGCCCGAGCATTCACACGTGCTCGACGATTGGTCACAAAATCTGATCTATCTTCGAAAATATGTCAAATTGGCCTCTAAAATTTTAAAGATATATTCTTGGATAGTTTTGGAATAGATTTAAGACAAAATAAAAAAGTCGATTTTTTTAAGCTTATAAAGGAGACTACTGCCTTAAGAAAATTGAAACTTTTTTCGACGTATTTTCAAAAATTGCGACTTTTTAGACTTTTTCTCCAAACATTGCAAAAAAATACCACAATTTTTAGTAAAAAAGTGCAACTTATTTTGATTTTTATAATGCAAAAAATAACTATAAACAAATCTTTCAAAAATTTTTTTTCAATAGTTAAAATTTTGTATAATTTTATTAAAAATAATTAATTTATTTCAAGTATTTTGTTACAATTTTTAAAAATCAACTTTTGAAGAATTTTAATTGCAAATTTTGAAAATAATTGAATTATCAAAAATTTTAATGAAAAATCTTTAAAGGTATACACTTAAAAATGAGAATTAGTTTCTAATTTTACAAAATTCAATATTTTTAATATTTTTAATTACATATTTTCAAAAATATGTACATTTTAGAATTATTTTTAACATTTTGGAGAAAACAATAATGTTAAAAATTTTTAATTAAAATTCATCAAAAAATTCATTAGTTTTTTTTAAATTATACAAAAATTCTTTTAAGAAATTATCTTCAAAAAATCACATTAATAAAATATTTTTAAAAACTATTGTTTTTGTATTAATTGAATGAATGAAATGTTTTGTAATAATTTTTTAAGATTCAAAATTTACTTTTTGGACTTATTAAAAATTTTGAGAAATCATGGTCCTGCGTTTATAATTAAAATTCTTCTAAAGATCATTTTTATTTATATTTTTCAAAAATTTAACTATTTTTAAAAGAATTTACCAAATTTTAATTATTTGGAAATTTTTCAAAATTGGAAAACTAGGGGAGAGTTGTCAGAGTTGGGCAGCTGTTAGAGTTGAGCCACCGCGTTTATTTCGTTTTATCGCACTAGCGCAATCTATCTTTTTACGAAAATTCTTGCTACAATGCTACTAATGTTAGCCATCTTTTCATATGAGTCGCGGTTAAGTATACGAACCTATACTTGACCAGCGTACCAATTTGTGATATATGTAGGCTCAGCAAAAACTTTTTTGTGGTGTCAAAAAAAGAGAACTAAATGTAGAAGAAATGTGTCAAAGACAAAATAAGTTTACAGAAATTGTTCATTAAGATGATATGAGAAAATGTGTAAAATAATTTGGTGTTTGTGTCACGCGTTTTTGTTCTGTGCCCCTATGACGCAAAACGACGCGTGAGTCAGAGTTGGGCCATGAGGGAAATTTTACAAAGAGAGAAAAAAAAATTTTTTGATAACCTTTTTTCATTTTTTCAATTTTGGATTTCGTTCATGAGAAATAAATTATCTAAAGTTATATGAAAATGCATAATATGGGATTTTATTTTAATTTCATGATTCCTTTCCTCATTCCCAAGTGTCATTCTATCATTTGAAGGTCATTTTTAATCATTTACCTAAATATTTCATTGATTTTCTACAGTGGCCCAACTCTGGCGACCATGATCAACTCTGACAACATTTTTTTTTTTAAATTGCTTATTAATCTGAATCTTTTGGTCAAATTTTTTTTACAATGTTCAGCAAAAACATTGCATTTGAGTTGATCTTTCCAACAATATGCGCGAAATCGCGAAATTCGTTCTACAGGGGAAGTTATGAAGAAATGTCAAAACTATGTCCAACTCTAACAACACTCCCCTATTATCGTTCAAAAATTATTTTAAAATATTAAAAAAAAATTAATTGTGAGAATTTCTTTATTATAATTTTTTGAAAATATTATACCTTAATAACTTAAGAAAAAGCTATGGAGAGTCACAATTATTATAAAAAATTGAGTTTATGTATTTAAATAATTGAATTCTAGAAGAACTTTTGGAAAATTATTTAAATTAGTAATTAATTGATTCAGGGATGAAGTTTAGTTGAAAATTGTAAAAAATAATTAAATTCAGGAAAGATTATAATTGTAATTTTTAGAAATTATTAAAATTCATAAATTTTGCTCATTTTCTGTAAACATTAATATTTTCCTCTCTCTAAATCTAAATCAGTAAAATTTGACTGTGTATCAGTGTCAAAATTCACTGATTGGCTAATTAAAAAGTTACTGGAAATTTCTGACTCGGATATTGAAATTTTCAGTTATTTTTTAATTGGCCAATCAGTGAAAGATGACTGAAATTTCAATTATTTGTAACTGATCTTCAGTGAAATTTTACTGATTCAAATCGCGAGAATAGAGTCACTGATTCAGTGTTAGAGAGCTGTAAAAAGAATTTTGTTAGGGAAAGCAATTTTAATGTCAGTATAAATTGTCAGGGAAATTGATAAACTGAAACTTGTGATCACCACAGGGTACTCAGGTGTACTCAGGGTGATAAAGGAGCGCGAATTTCAATTATGCGCACACGGGTTTACTACAAAAACTAAAAAAATTCCATGAGATTTCCATGATTTGATGTAATTTGATTTTCTTTTCGTTAACAGAAAGGAGAATCCTCACTGGGATCATGAGAAACTCTTCCAAGAAACCAGACGTATTATCAGCGCGATGCTTCAACACATCACCTACAACGAATTTTTGCCTCGAATTTTAGGCTGGAATGCAATAAGTTTATACGGCCTGAAACTCCTTCCTCAAGGTTATCACAAAGACTACTCACCCACTTGTAATCCAAGTGTACTAAACGAATTCGCCACCGCAGCCTACAGAATAGGTCATTCACTCCTTCGACCCCATATTCCTCGCATGGATCCAAACTACCAACCAGTCGATCCTCCAATTCTCCTCCGCGACGGCTTCTTCAATGTTGACATGCTCTATCAACAGGGAATGTGTGACGAAATAATTCGCGGTCTCGCCGCCACTCCAATGGAAACTCTCGACCAATTCATCACCGGCGAAGTGACAAATCATCTCTTTGAAAATCATCGTATTCCCCATTCAGGTATTGATCTCATTGCCCTCAACGTTCAACGTGGTCGCGATCACGGCCTTCCATCATACAATCACTATCGTGCCCTATGCAATCTTAAACGTGCATCGACGTTCGATGATCTCTCACGTGAAATGGCTCCGGAAGTAATAGCTCGCATGAAGAAAGTCTACGCATCAGTCGATGATATCGATTTATTCCCCGGTGGAATGAGCGAGAGACCACTTCAAGGTGGACTCGTTGGTCCAACATTTGCCTGCATTATTGCCATTCAATTTAGGCAATCGAGAAAATGCGATCGCTTCTGGTATGAGACGGATGATCCAGTCATTAAATTCTCCGAACAGCAATTGTCTGAAATACGTAAAACAACATTATCGAAAGTTTTATGCGAAAATATGGATCAATCAAATGAAATGCAGAGGGCTTCGTTCGATTTACCGAGTAATTTCCTGAATCCTCGAGTGCCTTGTGGTTCGATGCCGCACATGGACTTCTCTGCCTTTCGGGAAACCCGTCACGGTTGTCAAATCGGTGGCAGGAACGTTGCAATTGGAGAATCTGGCTTTCCAACTCCCTGCAGTAGCTGCATTTGCACAGCCGAAGGAGTGAGTATAATTTTCAATTCTCTCAATTTCACTGGAAACAAAATTTTAATTAAAAATATTTATTTAAAATAGTTACAAACATTTACTTGAAAAATGTAGCTGTGTAAAAATTCCAAAGAAATATCCACTAATTTTTTAAATCAAAGCAAAGGAACTTTTACATATTTTACAAAAAAATAACAACAAAAACAAAAATTCTAAAAATCACGTATATATTTTTCATTTTAGACGCAATGCGCATCCCTACGAGTAACAGACTGTAACCAACTAATTCGAGAAGCATCGCGAGAAGCAATATTACGAGACGATGTCTGCACAGCTCAATGCGGCTTTGTTCTCGCAGCAACCGAACCATCGCAAAGATCACAATTGTCATCGAACAATAATTTTCAGGGTTTCAATCAACAACGAAACAATTTGCGTAGTTCCCATACACCGACCACCTTCAATGGTTTCAAGTTACCCGATCTCTCGCAATTTGTTGGTTAATAAAAAAACCATTGCGAAAACAAACAAAAATTTCAAAGACTCAAAATTATTATCGAGTTCTAAAAGACTCGAACTTTATAAATTTTATATTTTTCGACTATAAATTAAAATGACAAAAAAAAAAAATAAATAGAAAACGGCGCTTGTGAGTGAAAGTGTAACTGCGTAAATGTAAATATAGATGTTAAGATCAAGTTTTGGGTTATTTTTGTTCATAATTTTGTGAGATTTAATTTATATATATATATATATATATATATATATATATATATATATATATATATATATATTATATATATATATGTGAGAGAGAAGTGTGAATTATTGACGTTCAACTTAGAAGGAGAAAAAAATTGTATCTGTTTAAAATAAGAATTATTATTAGTAAAAGAAAAAAATACGATACTGCCAAACATTACACAAAATGGTATAGCAAGTACTGTTTACTTTTTTTTATTTCTAAACAAAGTATTAGCACATTTCATGTCTGTCGTATCTTTTATTTTTTTGAATCACATTTCTACTTAATTTTTGTAATATAATAATACATAAAATAATGTATAAATTTTTAATAAATGAATGTTAATGTTAGTATTTTTTTTAAATAAATTACTTAAATAAATTAAAATAAAACAATTTTATTTTTATTTTAATCAAATGAATTTATTAATTTGATCAAAAGGCTTAAGAGGGGTAAAATAATAATTTTGTTTTAATTTTGATTTAAATATTAAAATTCTTCGCAAGAATTAAATTATTCTTTTATAAATAATAAAATTCTTCTCAAGAATTCAACTATTTTCAATACATTTTTAAAAAAATTCAATAATGAAAGTTTAATTATAATATTATTAACAGATACGATTATTTTTTTATACAGCGTATATAAATTACACAGGCCGACAAAATTTTGGCGAATCTCAGAACCAAGAACCGGACAATACTTTTCCGAAGGTTTTTGACGTGCTGAATCCGAATCTGACCTCAGAATTGCCCCATCACGTCAGGTTTTTGAGATATTCTAACCTAAAAGTGTCAAAATCACATTTTTTGGGCATTTTTGAAGTCCTGAACAATCAAGAGAAAATTTTTTTTCTAAAAGTTATTTACGGAATCTGAAAGTACTATTCTTCCCCTTTAAAAAGCCTTTTGAAACTTGAAAAAATCTTTATTTTTCACTGAGATATCGTCATTTGAAGTTTTTGAATGTGATAAATTGGTCAATATTCGTATACTGATCAGATTCAAAAACTTCAAATGACGATATCTCAGTGAAAAATAAAGATTTTTTCAAGTTTCAAAAGGCTTTTTAAAGGGGAAGAATAGTACTTTCAGATGCCGTAAATAACTTTTAGAAAAAAAAATTTTCTCTTGATTGTAAAGGACTTCAAAAATGCCCAAAAAACGTGATTTTGACACTTTTAGGTTAGAATATCTCAAAAACCTGACGTGATGGGGCAATTCTGAGGTCAGATTCGGATTCAGCACGTCAAAAACCTTCGGAAAAGTACTGTCCGGTTCTTGGTTCTGAGATTCGCCAAAATTTTGTCGGCTTGTGTTATTTTAAAGAATTTTTACTTTCTCTTTTAATTACAGATTTTTTCTGTTAATTATTTATACTTTTCTTTATATTTTTTTTGTAGTCTGCAATTTTTCTAAATTTTAAATCAAAAACTTATGTTAGACCGCGTCTTTTATTTTAAAAGTCTATGATTTTTTCTACATCTAATGAAAACTGCTATAAAAAATAGTAAATTTTACTCTAAAAGTAGTAAAAAGTATTATTAAAGATTGTTATTTTATAAATAACTTTTACTATTTCCGAAGAAAATTTCTTTAAAAAAATTTAGAAAAATTTACTTTGAAAGCAGTAAAATTCACTCAGAAAATAATAATTTTTAATAGTTAATAGTAAAAATAGTAAAAATGAGCCTCCAATAATTCAATAACTCGATTTGCGCTCGGACGACCAGTATAAAGGCTGTCAAAAACTCCAATATATGAAAAAAATTAAAAGTTAAAATAATTAGTATATTTCGTAACGAGTGCGAGCAGTTATGTCAATTGCAGTTGTCATTTTTTTTTTTGTTCAAAAATTAGCAACTGCTCCCACTCGTTACGAAATATACTAATTTAAAAACACAACATCATTTATAGTGCATGAAAATGTGCAATTTTTTTCTCTTGGTAATTTTTTTGTAAGACTAGCTCCTCCGACGGCCGCAAGCGGCCGTCTACGGTGCTAGTTTTTATATGTCCATTGTCCAAGTCCATTATTTCATTAATAATAATATTCAAATTTTTTCAGTTAATAATTTGCTTATTTATATTTGAAATGTTGACGTTTTTTTGACAATGCAAAATAAGATTTATTATGAGTACTTTCTCTTAACAAAAATACAATTTATATATTCGCGCTCTTTTTAAATAACATACGACTGCAGCGCCACCTTCACATGTACAAACAATTTTAAAAACACTCTTCTATTAAGGGGTTGCATACATTTGTATCAGAATGAAAAGAGCATAATGACTATTATGTCGAATTCACAAACGTAGAATCTGTAACTTTACGAATTTATTTTTATCGAATACAAAATTTAAGAAAATTATTTTCACGAATTAAAATTGACATAATTTTTATTTTCACTAAACAATAATTGATATAATTTTAAAATAGTCGATTTCTTATTTAGTCGAAAGTTTAAAAATCCGAAATTTAATTAAACCTAATTTTATTTTGTCGAATGGTGGTTCAATATAATGTATGAATATTAACAAAATTTATTATAGCCAAATTTATAACTAACCTAAATGTAACTGAACCGAAAAGTAATATTACATATTCCTTATTCTATAGAAATTAAAAGTCGAATTATCATTTAATCGAATATTTATTATACTAGTTCCTCCGACGGCCGCAAGCGGCCGTCTACGGTGCTAGTTTTTATATATGTCCATTGTCCAAGTTAATTATTTCATTAATAATAATATTCAAATTTTTTCAGTTAATAATTTGCTTATTTATATTTGAAATGTTGACGTTTTTTTTGACAATGCAAAATAAGATTTATGTTGAGTACTTTCTCTTAACAAAAATAAAATTTATATATTCGCGCTCTTTTTAATTAATATACGACTGCAGCGCCACCTTCACATGTACAATCAATTTTAAAAACACCCTTCTATTAAGATTTTACGTTCTCATTGCCCATTCTTTACTTCGATACTTTTCGATACATTCGACCTTTCCACTCCATGTCTTTTTTAAGAAAGGATGATGTGTGAAATTACAAGTTTCGTGTTATTTTACACCAGATTTTTTTACAGTGTATTATAATCTTAAAGTGGCGGAATAAAGCTATTTGTAAGAATGGTTAAATAGTCGAAACGCCATCTATTCGAATTGTCCAGTAGACGATTCGTAATTTAGTCGAATGGAAAAAACGTCGAATTTTGAAAACATAGAATTGTCAATTCGTCGAATTCTCAAAACATCGAATTGTCAATACGTCGAATGTTTAAAACGTCGAATGATACACTGAGAGAAATGAATGGTTAGAGCAACTACTTTTTTATTAGTAAAGGCAAAATTTATTCTCCCGTCTATTTAGTTAGTAAAATCTAGTAATTTTACCAGTAAGTTTTAATATTTTGCATATCAAACGTAACTATTTAGAATTAGTAAATGTGAAATAGTAAATGCATCCACAAAAATAGTTGGCTTTACCATTTTCGTTAGTAAACGAGAAAAAAAATGTCGGCTTGACATATGACGCATAACATAGTGTTGTCCTCTTAGTGCATTTGTTAAAGTTTTATGTGGTTATTTGTTTCTAACTTTTTGTTATTTTTGTGATAAGAAGAATATCGAGTGTGTGGAAACTGATGAAACTGTCAGAAGAGATATCGAGAGTCGAAGAATGTAAAGGACATGTAATAAGTGCAACTTGTGAATATTTTGTATACTCGAGGAAAAAGTGCAGTGTTATTTTTGTAAGGATAATGATAATTACTTTTCTAATATTATTCGCACATTAAAAAATATGTTTATCATGTCTTTATAGTGTGCGAATAATATTAGATAAATAATTGTTGTTATATATTTATTTATTGTAAAATGAACTAAGCAAATGTACCTATTAGAACTTTTATTAGTGGTCCCTACCAACTAAAATAGTTGCCTTTACTAATAGAAAATGGTTAATCTTTTACTATTTAAAAATGCTATCTTCAACTATCCAATTAGCAGCAGTATAGTTTACTAACCAAAATGGTTTTCGTAAGCATTTTATTGGTTGCGATAACTACTCTGTTCTCTCAGTGTAAAAACGTCGAATGCTAAAAACATCGAATCGTCAAAAGTTCGAAAAAATTTGTTTGATCTAAGTAAACATTAACTTAAAACAAAGAAATCTTTACTTAGATCAAACAAATTTTTTCGAACTTTTGACGATTCGATGTTTTTAGCATTCGACGTTTTTATCATTCGACGTTTTAAACATTCGACGTATTGACAATTCGATGTTTTGAGAATTCGACGAATTGACAATTCTATGTTTTCAAAATTCTATGTTTTCAAAATTCGACGTTTTTTCCATTCGACTAAATTACGAATCGTCTACTGGACAATTCGAATAGATGGCGTTTCGACTATTTAACCATTCTTACAAATAGCTTTTCCGCCACTTTAAGATTATAATAGATGACGTTGCGGCTACTTGCTTTTTGGCTCAAATTAAATTCACCTACAAAAATTTTCTACCAAATTAGCTTTCGGATAATTAGAAATTCGCTTAGTTGTATTTTCCTTAAAAATTAGTTTAGATTAATTTGCATTTCGAGATTTCGAAATATCGATTAAAATTAATTCTATATAATAAATATTCGATTAAATGATAATTCGAACACTTTTAATTTCTATAGAATAAGGAATATGTAATATTACTTTTCGGTTCAGTTACATTTAGGTTAGTTATAAATTCGGCTATAATAAATTTTGTTAATATTCACATTATTTTGAACCACCATTCGACAAAATAAAATTAGGTTTAATTAAATTTCGGATTTTTAAACTTTCGACTAAATAAGAAATCGACTATTTTAAAATTATATCAATTATTGTTTAGTGAAAATAAAAATTATGTCAATGTTAATTCGTGAAAATAATTTTCTTAAATTTTGTATTCGATAAAAATAAATTCGTAAAGTTACAGATTCTACGTTTGTGAATTCGACATAATAGTCATTATGCTCTTTTCATTCTGATACAAATGTGAGACGCATGCATATCCCCTAATCGCCAAGTCGTCGAATGATCAAATAATCGAATGCCAAGTAATCGAATGGACAAAACGTCGAATGCTAAAAACATCGAATCGTCATTTAGTCGAATGATAAAAACATCGAATCGGCATTTAGTCGAATGTTCAAAACGTCGAATGATTAAAACGTCGAATGCTAAAAACGTCGAATCGTCAATACGACGAATGTTCAAAAAGTCGAATTATCAATTCGTCGAATGTTAAAAACATCGAATTGTCAATACGTCGAATGTTCAAAACGTCGAATGATAAAAACGTCGAATGCTAAAAACAACGAATCGTCATGTAGTCGAATGCTAAAAATATCGAATCTTCAGTTAATCGAATGCTAAAAACATCGAATTCTCAATTCGTCGAATGTTCAAAACGTCGAATGTTTAAAACGTCGAATGCTAAAAACGTCGAATGTTCAAAATGTCGAATGCTCAAAACGTCGAATGATAAAAACGTCGAATGCTAAAAACTTCGAATCGTCATTTAGTCGAATGATAAAAACATCGAATCGTCAATACTTCGAATGCTAAAAACATCGAATTGTTAATTCATCGAATGCTTAAATCATCGAATTTTTCATTCGTCGAATGTTCAAAACGTCGAATGATCAAAACGTCGAATGCTAAAAACGTCGAATTCTCAAATCGTCGAATGCTCAAATAATCGAAACGCCATCTGTTCGAAATGTCAAGTAGTAGAATGGTAAAGTAGTCGAATGGTAAAGTAGTCGAAACGCCATCTGTTCGAATTGCCAAGTAGTAGAATGGTAAAGTAGTCGAATGTTCAAAACGTCGAATGATAAAAATGTCGAATGCTCAGAACATCGAACTGTTAATTCGTCGAATGCTCAAAACGTCGAATGATAAAAACGTCGAATGCTAAAAACATCGAATCGTCAAAAGTTCGAAAAAGTTCTTTGTTTTAAGTTAATGTCTACTGAAGACAAAGAACTTTTTCGAACTTTTGACGATTCGATGTTTTTAGCATTCGACGTTTTTATCATTCGACGTTTTGAGCATTCGATGAATTAACAGTTCGATGTTCTGAGCATTCGACATTTTTATCATTCGACGTTTTGAACATTCGACTACTTTACCATTCTACTACTTGGCAATTCGAACAGATGGCGTTTCGACTCCTTTACCATTCGACTACTTTACCATTCTACTACTTGACATTTCGAACAGATGGCGTTTCGATTATTTGAGCATTCGACGATTTGAGAATTCGACGTTTTTAGCATTCGACGTTTTGATCATTCGACGTTTTGAACATTCGACGAATGAAAAATTCGATGATTTAAGCATTCGATGAATTAACAATTCGATGTTTTTAGCATTCGAAGTATTGACGATTCGATGTTTTTATCATTCGACTAAATGACGATTCGAAGTTTTTAGCATTCGACGTTTTTATCATTCGACGTTTTGAGCATTCGACATTTTGAACATTCGACGTTTTTAGCATTCGACGTTTTAAACATTCGACGTTTTGAACATTCGACGAATTGAGAATTCGATGTTTTTAGCATTCGATTAACTGAAGATTCGATATTTTTAGCATTCGACTACATGACGCTTCGATGTTTTTAGCATTCGACGTTTTTATCATTCGACGTTTTGAACATTCGACGTATTGACAATTCGATGTTTTTAACATTCGACGAATTGATAATTCGACGTTTTGAACATTCGTCGTATTGACGATTCGACGTTTTTAGCATTCGACGTTTTAATCATTCGACGTTTTGAACATTCGACTAAATGCCGATTCGATGTTTTTAGCATTCGACGTTTTGTCCATTCGATGTTTTTAGCATTCGACGTTTTGTCCATTCGATTACTTGGCATTCGACTATTTGATCATTCGACGACTTGGTGATTAGGGGATATGCATGCGTCTCACAAATGTATGCAACCCCTATTAAGATTTTAGATTCTCATTGCCCATTCTTTACTTCGATACTTTTCGATACATTCGACCTTTCCACTTCATGTCTTTTTTAAGAAAGGACTCAATTTAATTATTCGTAAAAACTTTAATTAAAATTTTTGAAGCAATTTGTAGATAGATTTATTTATGTTCGAAATAAAAATAAATTTAATTTTGATGAGAAAAAAAACTATGAAAAATTAGGACAAAGCCGGGAATTTTGTTGAACGAAAATAGTAGACACCCTGAATAAATTCTTGAGATAATAATAAAAAATAAAAATAAATAATTTCTAAAGATAATTGCAGAATACAATTTAAATAAACGTTTTTTTTTAACAAGCTTGTGGTTAAAAAAGTATTAACTTATTATTAAGAAAAAACTGTCAAAAAACAATACATGAAAACACCTGACAGGCGTGACCGGAGCAATGTTTTTCTAATTTTTTTTCTTTTTCTTTTGTAATATATTTTCGATAATTTTTCATCAATTTGCACTAAACTTTCCAAAAAACTTGTTTAATACCTAATGAACAAATTTGTCACTGGAAGTTTGTTCAATTCAAAAATTCCGTGCAGTTTTTTCCCGGCTTTGTCCTAATTTTTCCTAGTTTTTTTTTCTCAACAAATTTAAATTTATTTGATTTCGAACATAATTAAATCTATCTACAAATTGCTTCGAAAATTTTTATTAAAGTTTTTACGAATAATTAAATTGAGTAATGAAAATTTTCTTGTTTTTTGTCTCTAGTGTCTACAATATTTACTTTACAAAAAAATTCCCAAGAGAAAAAAGTTGCGCATTTTCATGCACTATAAATGATGTTGTGTTTTTAAAAAATTTTTATTTTAACTTTTAATTTTTTTCATATTTTGGATCTTTTGACAGCCTTCATACTGATCGTCCGAGCGCAGATCGAGTTATTGAATTGGGAGGCTCAATTTACGTTCAAAGAAAATTTTGAAGAACTTTTACATAAAAATTAACTTTGGAAATAGTAAAATTTGCAATTAAAAATCGCTATTTTCAGAAAAAATTTTATAATTCTCGAGGTAAATTTTAATAATTAGTGAAATTTACTTTCAATTGTTTAACATAACTAAAATAATTCTCCAACTTAAATAAAAATGACAATTTTTTCTTTATACGAAAGAAGGGGGAAAAGGGAGAATATTCTTGATTTTAGGTGTTGCAAGAGATTTTATAAATTTAAGGGAATAAAAAAATAGAAAAGAGAAGGAAAAATACAAATAAAAACAGGACTGTGATCCTTGAGATAATAAAAAAAGCAAAAACAAAAAAAGATGAAATAAATTTTGTACTGAAAATTAAATAAAAACAGATTCAATTAAATTTTTCCCGCAGTATATAAAAAATCGGAAATATTTGAAAATCAATGGTTAGAGAAAAAACAAGAATTGCAGTGTTTATCTAAAAGTCTATTATAATATGTACAAAGGATTTCGGCACAAGTAGATTGTACAAAATCTATTCCCTGACTTAGTTATTCTAAAACTTCTTCTCCACTTTTTCTTCTTTTCTTGTGTTCTTGTAAGTATTAATATCATGGAGACAAAAATTGAATCACGCTGTGGAAAATGTCTCTGATAATTATCAGAGGCAAAAGAAAAAAAAAGAATAAATTATCAATTTGACTTAGTTAGCAGGAACCTCGTGTTTATTGTTCATAACAGAACTATTCTCTTGTAAAATTGGTTGTTCGATGCATCGCCACAGACCATAGGTTTTCCCCACAGTTGTTTGCCATAATCTCAATGTTCCGTCTTCAGAGCCGCTCGCGTACAATTCACCGTCCGGCGAAAATCTCACGCAATGCACTGGACCAAAGTGTCCTTTAAATGATTCTGAAAATATAAAAATTATATGAATAGGAATATTTAAAAAAAGCAATATAGAAACAAAAAATACAAAAATATACATATTTAAAAAAACTAGAAATTTAGATTAAATATTTAATAGAGAAATAAGCGGATAATTTTCTAGTAAAATTAAGTACAACAAGAAGTCAATTTTTTTTTATAAATACCAATTTCAGTGCCAGATGTATAATCAAATTTATACATCTTGAGATCTTCACCACCACAAACAAAGATAGTGCAATCCGGATGTAAACTCGCGCTATTCACTTGTGTAGGGACTGTATAATCGCGTATCTTGGTCAGTCTGCAATTTAAAAAGTATAATTTAGTACACAGATAAAAGTATTCAAGGTCAATGAGTCGCGTTTCATTTTAAAAGTAAAAGGAAGGAAAATTATCTCTAAAGGATAAAGCATTTAAACGAATGTCACAGAAGCGGCAGGAAATAAAATAAGTTTCCTTCCTACTAGGCCAGGGTTACCCCCAATAGCCCAATAAAGAATATAATTGTCCCACGTGACTGCAAATAAAGTCAAAATGATATTCAAAATAAAAATGAGAAAACAAGAATATTACAGAACAATATTAAATAAAAATATTAAAAAAGTATATTAAAAAGGAGTAAAAAATACAGAAAGAAAAAACCAGCAGTTATTAAAAATGAAAACGAACGATTGTAACTAGTAATTAAATATGAATCTAAAGAGTTAAAAACAATACGAAAAGCAAGGTAAATCAATCTCCTGCATGATTTTTAATTGCTAATTGTTCCTCTATTCTTCCTTTTTTTTCTTTTTTACACTTTTTTACCTTTCTTTTCTGATCTATTTTACTTTTTTAGTTCTAATTCTAGTTCGAAAAAATATTTTCAATTCCTCCTTGAAATTATAATTTCCTGAGGAACCTTTTTTCTTGAAAAAGAGAATAAAATCGGTCTTACTCTTTGCTATCCCAAAACGAAACAATATTCGCATGAGTAGTAGTGAATATTTTGCCATCTTTGGAAACTTCCATCGAACTGGGTATAGCAGGAAAATCCAAACGTTTAATTTCCTGACCGCTATTCTTGTCCCAGACTCGCAGTGTTTTATCATCCGCACAGGAAACTAGATTCGTATCATTGTTAAAAAAGGTAACGTGTCTAATGCCACTCGTATGACCTGAAAACACCTGCAAAGAGAAAGTCAATAAGTTTCTCAATTAGTTTCGATTATCAAAAACATTTTTTCTTTCTAATAATTATTTTCTTTTTATTCTTTTCATTTTTTATACCTACTTTTTATCTTTTTCTACTTTCTATTTCTTTTATTTTTCCATTATTGTAATTATTATTATTATTACTTTTTGTACTTTTTTTCTTTAGAGAAAAAAGAAGAAACTCACCTGAGGTGCTGCTTCCGGTTTATTAAGATCATAAATGCGAACGAGTTTCTCGTTTGAGGCAGTGCAAAGATAATTCGAGTCGGAACTGAAGTTCACAGACTTTACAATGTGATTATGTTGAAAGGAATGAATCTCTTCACCCTTTATTGCGTCCCAAACTTTTGCATTAAAGTCTGCAGCTCCAGTCGCTGCCCTGGTGGCCTGAGGGTTTAATGCTACACCCCAAACTGCCCCCTTATGACCCTCGAATGTACCGATCCAATCTCCAGTATCGCCCTGTCTCAACATCGGCTTTCCGTCTAGGAAAAAAAATTACAATTCTTCATTTTCAATTTGCAATCATTTGAAAAAGATATTGTTTTGAAAAAGTAATAAACAAAAATTTACCATTTTATGAATAATGGACGTGCCGGAATAAAAATACAGGAAAAAAGAAACAACAACAACAAAATTCTACTTATACGATTTTTTAAAGGAAAATCCGTTAATTGTTTATAAAGAAAAAAAAAATCCTTATAATTGCGAATCAATATCTTTTTAAACACTTCAGTCACACGTTATAATCAAGGTTACTCGAGAATCATTTAAATCCCGGACAGATAGGTAATCATTTTTCTCTCAATGACCTTCGAGTAAAGCCATTTAAAGTCATGTAGTGTTCCTAACAGAATTCCTACAGGATGCTTATCGAAAAATCGCAATGTTAAAAAATTACAAACACATATACACAAACGACAAAGATTCAGCCTCGAATCCCCTTTAGAGCCTTGAAGTCTCTCCGAAAAACTGGGCCAAGGAGATCGAGATCACATGAGTATATGTGAGAGAAAAAGAGCAAAAAATAAAAAAACCACACATCCAGAATTTATAATCAGAAAAAATATTATGTTCTTAACAAAAAAAAAGTGTTCTTTTCTATATAAACAATTTTGACAGCTGATCGCTCTGCGCGTGAAAATAAAGTTAGGTTATGTTTCACGAAAAGATGAAATATTAACAAAAAAAAACAATTAACTCTAGCATCTATTAAATTGATTAAATTTACAAAAAAATTACTTACCTTTACACGCTGAAATAACATAATATCCGGATTCAGTGACGTCGGAAAACGCTAAATGCACAACGGGTCTTGTATGACCACTACAAGTGAGCGGAGTCTGTCTTACATTCGCCATTACTTATTATTACTAAAATACAAATTTTTATATAAAAAAAAATAAAAATCCTAACTAAATTGTAAAGAAGATGAAACTTGACAGGTGAAAACGTCAAGAAATAAATTTCTCGTTGTTGTTGTTAACAGTGTACACGCGATACTGCGCGATACTGAACTTCGTGCTGACGACAGGTGACTAACAAAAGTTTGTTAGATAACTTCAGACAGGAAGAGAGCAGACGATATTCTGTCTTCTTCCTTCATTTAAATAATTGAACTTACCTTCTTTTTCTCTTTCTCTCTCGATGGACGACCGCGCGAAACCTTGAATTCGAACAATCCCTTCTCCTTCGAATTAATAACCTCCAGTTGTAAATACCTTTTTTCTCTTCTTTTTCTTGTATTTTCCTTTTCTTTACTGTATCGTCGTAGTAGTTGCCAGCATCAATTTTCAAATCTAAAAAAAACAAACACAATTTTTTTACTATTTCAATTCAAGGAGAGCATTTATATTTATGGTTTATAATAAAACCGTAAACTTTACGTTTGGTTTATTATTTCAATTTTTTATATATTTATTATTTCTAAAATTTCTGTACTTTTATAATAAAAACGTGAACTTACTTTTGTTTACAATATTTTAATTTTTTATGCTAATAAAATTTATTTTGTATTTATATTTATATTTGCACTTACACCTATAAATTATAATATTTATAATTATTAAATTTTATAGTATTTTAACATTTTAATTACAAAATTAGCCAAAAATTATGTTCATAGTTTTTATTTATGTTTCTGTTTTTTTATAATTGAATTATGCATTAAATTTTTAAAAAACAAATCAACAAATTGTCAGTTTCAAATTACCTACAATGTTTAGAGTTCTACCTTATCGATACAAGCAAAGGAAAAATAGTGACACTTTTCAATTATTTTAAATTTTCTTTGACAAATTTTGAAAATTTTTTTACTTCTGAATCTTTTTCAATGTATTGTTTTTTAATTCTATACAATTAATATTAGGATTATATAGCAATTTTTAATCTTTGTGGGTGCTTATAGAAAATTCTACCATCAGCCGAAATAGCTCAGTTGGGAGAGCGTTAGACTGAAGATCTAAATGTCCCCGGTTCAATCCCGGGTTTCGGCAATCTTTTTTGTAATTTTTTGTTCAATATTGTTTCTATTTGCCATTATTATTATAATCAACAAATATTGTTCTCTTTTTTTCTGATGCTTAAGAAACAGTTAATTTATTGTTACAATTGTAAATTTTTTTGGAATCTTGCTTTATTGTTAATTTTCATTGTAAAATTGTTTTCATATAGTTTTTCTTAAACAAATAAAGATATTCTATTAAATTATTTTCAATACAATTTCAATAACATTTCTCAAAATAATTCAATTATTTTTTTAAATTTTGCACTGAGAAAACTGGAGTATTGGACTAAACATCTGGAGGGACAAATCGTTGATATTTGAGAGTTAGCTATTGGATAAAAATCTAAGGGCCGGTTCCACAACTTCGACTTTAAACCGAGTTTAGTTAAACCGAGTTCATTTTTAACCAAAGTTCTAACCGCGAGTTTACGATGCATGCGTTCCACAACAGATTTTTGAGCGTCGTCTAAACGTATACCTCCTTCGTCATAATTTTATTTTTCTCCTATTTCTATTATATTTGACAATTTCATTGGGCGAAGTAAAAAGCGGAACATTGAGACAAGTTTTGAAAAAGCAAAGCGTTGACAGTTGACACATATAGAATCCAGTCGAATCTTTCTGAATCATTTGTGTTAAAAGTATATTGTATATATATATTGTTTAAAATGCTATAAAAATATCAATGAAATTAAAAAAGGAAATTTAATGTATAATAAAAATAATTTTTTTCGATTCTAGGAGGAAATATTTTTATTTATAATAATACTCACACATATGAATTTAATTTTAAAACATTAATAAACAAAAGTTGTAAATTCAGATGTTCATTACATGAACATTTTGTTTCATCTTTACGATCATCAAAAAAATCTATAACAATTTTTATTAAAAAAGTCAATTTTTCACCTTTAATTATGATTAATTCTATTAATTTTAAATACACCCTATATTTTATTAACTACACCAATCTATTCGCTTTGTTGCGAAAAATAAGATTTTATATTTTTCTGCATTTAAATTAAATGAATTTTTAACAAAAATGCGAATTTTTTGGCTTTAATTGCGATTAGTTCTATAAATTCAAATACAAGTTACATACTTTATATGAGGCATTCCATTTCAAAACGACCCCCTTAGTAAACAATTGCCAATGTAAGACAATTTTTAAATGAATATTTCTTCCATTCTGTAGAACCAAATTGCTTTTTATATTAGTGATTTCGAAAGTAGAATTTCTGAACTTTCTGATAATAAAAAAATATATTTTTTTAATAATTTAATTTAAATAGAAAATTGAGTTTAAAAGTTAAACTTTGAAAAATCTCAAAACACGTTACCTCCGATTTTAATAAAATTCATATTAAACGAAAGCTTGAATATTCTTCTTTTTATTTATCAAACGATAATAATGGACATTTCAGTAAATTTTAATTAATTAATTAAATTTTACAGACATTTAGAAGGTTATTATGCATAAATTGAGAAAAACAAATGCCGCCCTATACTTAATAAATGGTTTTCTCAATATAACCTTCGAAATGTTTGTAAAATTAATTATTTTCTCAAAATCCACTGAATTGTCCATTATTATCGTTTGATAAATAAAAAGAAGAATATTCAAGCTTTCGTTTGATATGAATTTTATTAAAATCGGAGATAACGTGTTTTAAGGTTTTTCAAAGTTTAACTTTTAAACTCAATTTTCTATTTAAATTAAATTATTAAAAAAAAATATTTTTTTATTATCAGAAAGTTCAGAAATTCTACTTTCGAAATCACTAATATAAAAAGTAATTTGGTTCTACAGAATGGAAGAAATATTCATTTAAAAATTGTCTTACATTGGCAATTGTTTACGAAGGGGGTCGTTTTGAAATGGAATGCCTCATATACACTCATCGACTCGTGTTGATATAAGGAATAAAAATTTTGATTAATATTATAGTTAAAAAAATTTTATCTGGAATTTTTAAAAATCTTTGGGTTGGTCGATTCTTCTATCTGCATAAAAAATTCTTCAACCGTGAAATTGACATTTTTTATTTTTTATACATAATTTTTAATATTATATACAAGATAACAATATTATCATTTTTTGTTGGAAACTTAACCTCAGCTTCAAACTACTATACATATATGACGTACAAAACTATGGTGGGGAGAGATTTAACCGAGGTTTAAAGAGTTAAACCTCCAACTTTGGCCGGTTAATTTCAACCAGGGTTTAGCCATTTTGACCCGAGTTTAAAAATTTTTGGAACGCATAATTTTCACTAAACCGAGTTTACCGTCTTAAACTCTGGTTAAATAAAGTTTCTCTTGGAGGGAAAATGAGTTTATAACAGAGGGACAAATTAAGGTACTGCCACAGCTCGCTGCTGCCTGCGCAGGCAGCTGAGATACAATGAGAGTAAAGGTACACTCTCACCTCACTGCCTGCCTGCCTGCGCAGGCACGCGCCATAAGAGTGAGAGAGAAAAAACATTTAATTTGAATTTTCTGACTCTCTTACTCTTATGTGTTACCATGTCAACCTGCAGGCAGGCAGGCAGGCAGTAGGAGCTGTGCTAGCGCCTTAAGGGAGTAAGAAAATTCAAATTCATGTTTTTTCTCCCTCACTCTCATTGTATCTCAGCTGCCTGCACAGGCAGCAGCTAGCTGTGGCAGTACCTTTAACCATCTTGAGAAATCCCTTCCTTATCCGGCGCGAAATGAATAAATTTTAATGGCAACCTAACCCCTAAATCAAATACATAAAATGTCAGAAAAATAATTTCGCGCGCATCAGATCGTACACATTTTCTGCGCAACTTTTAACCCTCAGAGCCTCAGATATAATGGGAGAGAATATACAAGTAGATTTCCATTATCAATTCAAAATTTATTTTAGAAGGACTATATTTTAACTCTTTTCATAAGCAAAGGAAACATACACTTTTTGAACCTCTGAATTTGACTCTCCAGTTTTATCAGTGTGATAAAATTCTTCGCAAAAATTCAATTTCTTCTGTAAAATTTTCATTAAATTCTTTGTGAGATTTGAAATATTTTCAGTACAATTTTAATTAAATTTCTCAAAAGAATTCAATTATTTTAAAAATCTGATAAAATTCTTCGCAACAATTCAATTATTTTAAAAAATTTCAATAAAATCCTATGCAAGAATTAAATTATGTAAAATTTAAAATCATAAAAAAAAATTTTAAATCATCATAAAATTTTTCAAAAGAATTCAATTATTTTTAAAAATTTTGATAAAATTCTTCGCAAAATTCAGTTATTTTGTAAATTTTGGATTAAATTCTTTGTATATAAGATTGGAAATGTTTTCAGTAAAATTTTAATTAAATTCATAGAAAAAATTCTATTATTTTTGAAAATTTTAATAAAATTCTCATCAAGATTTCACTTATTTTCATAATTACACTCAAATCTCGCTATAACGACCTTTTCTATAACGAGCGCTCTCTATAACAAGGGCTCTGTCTCTCGGTATAGCGAGAAAAATTTTCTCCCGATTACCCCCACTATTTATAAACAAATGCACATTCAGTTGGTTTAAATTTGGTTAAAATCACTTTTATTTATATGAAATAAAAATAAAAAGTCACTTCTTATTTGAAATTATATCAATGAGTCGAACATCTTCAAAATTTAAGCTTATATAAATTTTCTGTATGTTAAAGTTCAAAGTAAACTAGGTTACGTTTGTAATTTTGACATTATTTAATTTGTAAACACTAAAAAAAATGAATAAAGAATCTTAAAAGTGGGGATTTCTCATTTCTCCTCTTGCGCTCGTAATAGAGGGAGACTTGACTCCCGAACTTCTCGTTATAGCGAGATTCGAGTGTAATAAAATTTCTTGAAAGAATTTAATTATTAAAAAAAATTGTAATAAAATTTCTCAAAAGAATTGAGTTATTAAAAAAAATTGTAATAGAATTTTTCGAAAGAATTGAATTATTTAAAAAACTCTTTATAAGAATTTAAATATTTTTTATATTATTTTAATCAAATTTCTGGTAAGAATT